TCCATGTCAGTCCCTCAAACTTGCATCACTGTGAGTGGAGAACATTGAAAATCCAAAGGTATATATCTTGATTTACGTTGGAATTGAACCCCAAATCTTCAGGTTAGTGAGCAAACGTCTAACTCACTGAGCTACTGTGGCTCCAAATAGCATATTTGAGAATGGCACTTTAATTCTAAATATTTTGATTCTCACAGACATGATAGGGTGTACGTACTACTTTCTGCTCCCATTTGAGCTAATGATGATTCAAAATTCAATGCATTGTTCATATGAAATTGAAATTTTTACAGATCTTTAACATGAATAGCACACGGGGCCTTAGTTCACTATGATAGCATCACAGGCAGAGGGAGGATAGGGTACAATAATCGGAAAGTATCATCTCTTAATGGCCCTCATGAGAGACACAAAAATATTTGATAGACTCTAATCTCCTGCTTTCGGCATAAGCAACTAGTTTTGATGTAAACACTTAGGTACAGAAACAATCTCATTGAACGGGAGAGAGTAATTTGTGCTAGTTCTAATACTTACAAGGGTTTTAGGATTATTATATAATCTATTAACTAACAGACGACCAGCTTAGATAGCTACTAGTGTTAGTTCTGATACTTACAAGAGTTTTAGAATTATTATATAATCTATTCACTAACAGACAACCAGCTTAGATAGCTACTGGTGTGAGTTCTGATACTTACAAGAGTTTTAGAATTATTATATAATCTATTAACTAACAGACGACCAGCTTAGATAGCTACTGGTGTTAGTTCTGATACTTACAAGAGTTTTAGAATTATTATATAATCTATTCACTAACAGACGACCAGATTAGATAGCTACTGGGGTTAGTTCTAATACTTACAAGAGTTTTAGAATTATTATATAATCTATTAACTAACAGACGACCAGCTTAGATAGCTACTAGTGTTAGTTCTGATACTTACAAGAGTTTTAGAATTATTATATAATCTATTAACTAACAGACGACCAGCTTAGATAGCTACAGGTGTTAGTTCTGATACTTACAAGAGTTTTAGAATTATTATATAATCTATTCACTAACAGACGACCAGCTTAGATAGCTACTAGTGTTAGTTCTGATACTTACAAGAGTTTTAGAATTATTATATAATCTATTCACTAACAGACGACCAGATTAGATAGCTACTGGGGTTAGTTCTGATACTTACAAGAGTTTTAGAATTATTATATAATCTACTCACTAACAGACGACCAGCTTGGATAGCTACTGGTGTTAGTTCTGATACTTACAAGAGTTTTAGAATTATTATATAATCTATTCACTAACAGACGACCAGCTTGGATAGCTACTGGTGTTAGTTCTGATACTTACAAGAGTTTTAGAATTATTATATAATCTATTAACTAACAGACGACCAGCTTGGATAGCTACTGGTGTTAGTTCTGATACTTACAAGAGTTTTAGAATTATTATATATCTATTCA